CAGCGGCAACGATGGTAGTAGTAATAGAAGCAGCAGTGGCAAATCCAGCGAGGAACAGCAAATGGAGGAAGGGGCCTATTGGTCCTTTGTAGACGTAAATGACTTCTAGGACCATCAGCCGATGGTGGGTGATGGCATCTGAACTGGTGGTCCGACAGTAGCAGGGAGGTGGAGGGACATCGGAATAAACTAATAGAAATCGCGAGGACGAATGGGAACCAGGAGGTGAAACGGCTGCTTTGGTTGCAAGGGAGCACCTCAACCCTCATAGGAGTCGGCGATCGGGGCTTTGAGAGTCGGGGCAAAATCCTTCGACGGGGTTTAAGCTGGACGCGAACGTACAGTAGCAACTCGGGGAAAGCACACTCCAAGTACCCCCTGATGGCCTTTAGCAGAACGAGGTCGGATCGCTATCACGGTAAGCGTACGAGGAAAAGTCTGTTTGCTTCGTTGGTTAGTTGGGGATCAGCACGGAAAATACCGACTGGGACTTTCTTCTTCTGGCAATGTTTTTTCGCCAACGGCATCAGCGCCAGTAATGCAAACAGTAACCCAAACGCATGTCTATATGTATATATATATATATATATATATGGCAACGCGAAGTATGTACAGCTTTTGCAGCAGTACAAAATTGAATAGCCTAATTCCCTGATTTTCAGCTCACATAAACACTGACTACTCAATTTTTCTCAACAACTATGCTGGAAATTAGTACCTATCATATTCTACGTCATTTATATATGTAAAGCTCGGCCTATAACACAAAGAACGTATGTTTCGTGTTCGTTGCACATGCACTAGGTAGTGATAATGGGTTCTTCACTTCTCCACTTGGTCTGTGTTGGGCAGAGGCCGGCGGAGACCGGCAACCGGCGTAGCGTTTACAGTGTCGTTGTCAACAATGACAACGTCCCAAAACAAGCAGCTTCATGCCGACTCAGTGATGGTCGAGTCCACACCAGTGCTACGGGGTCGTCTGAAGGGCAACTCTTCGAGAATTTTGCCGAAAGAGAGGTCGTTGGGGAAGGGGGAGCTTGTGGAGAACTGAGTGAGTGTTTTGCTCTCCACCGGCTTAATTCTATCCTATCTATCTATCGCTTTCTTTCTATGGCACAAAACTAGTTGTATGTAGTTGCCTTATTAGGGTAACCTCCTCTGCTTTGAAGTTTCCTGTCACCACTGTGCAGTGAAGTCGCACATAACTGCTGCCGTCGCATTACACAGAGAGGAAAGCAAAGGGGAAAAACAAAACGGAGAAACAGCAGTTTGCGACATAGCGTTAGCAAGGAAGAGACCGCGCCGGTTCGAGAGAGAGAGAGAGCGACGGAACCTGCTAGGTCGGACGACGGATCCCGCGTCGCGGCTGTTTGGCAGGGCGTTCACGTTCGCCTGTCTAATGCCGTCCTAATTGAGGCTTGATGGCAGCGGAAAGCGAGAGAAGCGTCACCCAGTGCAGCCATCACATGAGCGACTCAAGCACTTGCTTCACTTCGTATACCGTCCGGTCCGGGTTCCCGAAACCACCCGTTGGCCTAGGACCACCCGTTGGCGGCTTAGCCTTTACTGCATCGCAAGAGAGAAACAGTGCTACCACAGCCACAACTACAAACACGGCAAAGCACACGATGTACGGATGGATGTCAAACGTGCGTCGTTGTCCGACAAAAAGAGACTAAGCTGAGTCAGACCGTGTCAGACCTCCGAGACATGAATCTACTGCGTAGTGGAGTTTTTGGTCAGAAGCCTTGTGACGGGAACAGTAAGGCTAACAGCGGCTTAGTTACTGCGGCCAAAACCGGTCTACCCTGACCACACTCTATTGAAAGTTAACTACCGAATGCGAAATAGAGCATAATTCGTATTAGCCATTATTGGTCGATAATAGGCAAAAAAGTATGCTCTGTAGCAGAAACCTCAAATCGATACACCCAGATATTTGTTTTAATTTTGACGCAGATTTTTTTGCCAATTTATTGCGAATATTCTGCCTATGTTATAATACAAAAACGTATAATGACACGTTGCAATCGCGAGGTTCCTTTCGTAGATAATACTCGACAAAACAGGGCAATTACCCAACGAAAATGCCCAATTCACTTTGTAAACTGATGTAGCCTTTGTGATATTATAGACATGTTTCCACAAATGATGTCCCTATAATCACGTATGTTGATAGGTGTAGCATTCTTTGTATACTTTTACATGCTAAATATTCAAAGCCAACAAAATGCTAACCTTCGTCTTTAGGTTAAACAGCCAAGCCTATCTATTATAGTGGCAGTGGTAAAGGTTGCACCAAAGGTCAGCTATCCGACGTAATGTTTAACGGATGTAAAACTGGGACACATGGAAAATAAAGAACAGGCACAACATACTATATATTTTTCTGGGTACGCGGAGCTTCACGTCAGACTTATTTGTATCCGACAGTACAATTATTATGCATATTCCTATTAAAAGGTGTCAAAGCGCAGCTTTGTTTTCTACACCCACTGCTTTCTCCCTGATTGTCTTCTGAATTTTCCAGACAGCCGCTTTATCTTGACTTGGGCACTACGCAGCCATATTGGCATTGAGCCCACACGGATTGATGACCTCAAGGTTCCACTTTGTTTCGAGGTTGATTATTGTTGTTTTATGTTGACTTCTGCTAAGCCCGGTCTATGCAACCGTTTACACCTTTCTGCTAGCCTCCTGTTTTGGAGCCGGAAGATATGCAATGATGGCGATGGAAGCAGCAGCTTTCCGTAAATGTCAGCTACGATCCATCTAAAGGCCAGCAGCGATTTAACTCCGTCGGACTGTGGCAGGGCCACGCTCCTGCTTGGCAGCACAGATGGCGATGCGCTGTTTGCTTCACGCTTGCCACTATTTGTGGTAACACGCTACTACATGCGTGAACATAATCCAAGACAAGTTGCGCTAGGAAGGGCTGACGAGGCGGCCAGCCAATCGCTCGTGCAGTAGCGTCGCCTGAAACAAACCTTTCCGAGTTTGAAGTTCCTAGCGGGACTGTAGGAGCTCTGTCCTTGTCGAACCGACTAGATGTGGCGGGAGCGGCCAGACAAAGACGAGAGCCGTACCGTTCACTTGGAGTCATGGCGAGTCATGTGCTGTCGCGGCCCATCGTAGCCGCTGTGCTAACGGGGGCGGCAGTGGTAGCAGCAATATTGCAATGTTGATAATGTCGATAATGACTATCGGGTTTCAGATATCGGATGTAACCCGGCCTCTCGAACCACTGAGTGGCATCGCAAATATATTAATGCACACAGCATTCTGTTAGCTGCCGCAGCTATTGCTTTTCTTCAGCTGTCTTCTTCGCCGGCCTGGCTAGATGGTACGGATGGACCTGGGCCTAGAACTACTTAAAGCTGTCTTTGATGTTACTACAACGACTACCACTAGGCTAGGACATAGTACGTGGGTAGTGCGTGTGCGTTTTAGAAAGAAACGATTGCGGAATGGGTTAGGTGCGCTACCAGTTCACGGTTTGTCCGCGTGCCTCTGTGTGTATATATGCGCAGCCGTACGGTGTACACTTACTGGTCTTGCTTTGATCGCCGTTTTGACAACGATTTCTGACTGCCATAGTAAAAATAGTACGGCCATCAGCAACGGAAACCGTGACAAGCATCTTTCTAATTTTCTTGACAACGACGTATTCAACCGTTCACTCGGTTCTGAGTACACACTCTTCGACAGACAATAAACACACACACTGTCGCCAGAGATAGAAGAAGGTAAAAGTGGGGAATATAGGTCAGTTGGGGAATATCCGGGTTCACATAACTAACGGACACGCTGTACGGTTTGTCATTCAGTATGGCGCTACCAATCCGTGTACTCGAAGTCAACCCAAGCCGTAAGCAAATCGCCGAAGAGTTGATGCCTCTTGTGCTCTGCCCAAAAGCCAATCACCCAGCTTGCGCGTGTTAGTATTTGCAAACGGATAGGCAGTTGCCAATACGATTCTTCGACCACTGCGGTACTAGCAAGCAGCTAGGAATGGTTGAGATGGCCCGGTGAGTAGAGGGGAACTAACGTCAGATGGATGAACACAAATGAATCGGGATAACGACAATCAGCCCTCACTGACAGGCATTGCACAGAGCTTGCACCCGCTCTTCTCTCAAGGCTAGGCAGATAAGTTACTGGCAATAAGTGGCAGTCGCCTGGTGGCATCAGTGAAGGTGTTATTTCTGCCAAACGGCTGGCTTCTATTGGCCGTCGTTGGCTAAAGATGGTCAAAGAGTGTGGCCACATTAGATTAGGTTAACTTGAGAAGTTAGCACGGCCTGTTCGTGCAGGTGATGTTCGATTTATCCTTAGTCTATAAGGCAAAGATATGGCTTTCGGCTTTATTCTAATTAGAAAATTTCCTGGTACTTATAAACGACCACGCTTGAAGGCAAATATAGACTAGAAAAAAACACCTTGAGTTGACACATTACTGAAGATCAAAGTAGGGTGACCAGGTAAGGGATGCTATGCAGATACTAAGTTGAAGATGAGTGGGCATTTGAAGGGTTCGTTGAACTTCTGATGAACCCATTGCGCTATAAACTGGTGACCGGTTCATGCTAATGAGTGAAATATATATTGATTATAGTGAGCCAGCACAGATGCGCGCTTAAAGCACTGTTATGTCTTAGATAAGTTGCATTAGCTTATAACTGCAGAAGTACCTTACATTTCTTTAAATTGTATTCTTACGATGGAAAAAGCGGATTTAAAGAACGCAGATATATTTATAAAAAAAAAAAACAACTAGAATATTTCATAACTCTGTTACGATCTATTTATACCTATTGTGATGCATTTACTTTGAAGCAATACAAACAGTAGAACCTTTTAATCCAAAGTTGACACTTCATTAGGGTTTCTCGATGCAAGAAAAACATATTTAGAGTTGACAAAATTCACCCTCTGAGTTTGCAGATATCCTCCATTATTTAGCAGATAAAAAGTCTTATCTCGGTTTATCGAATACTTACCAGCTGTGACGCGAACGTCGCGGCTGCCGATACTGCCCGCATCGCTTGTTAGTTGACACCGAAAGAGGCCACTATGCACCTCAGTCCGAAACTGTTCACCAGAAAATGGCTGTAACACCATTGACCCATCGCTGCGAAACTGCCTTAGACCGGGAATGGGCGACAGAGGAGCGCCATCGGGACGCGTCCAGACGGCGCGCGGTTTCGATACGCCGCCGCCGTCGCACGGAATCACGGCGCCGGTAGAGTTGAGGAAGACCACCGACGAGGGCGGCTCTTCTCGGAAAAACAGCGGAAGCTGCTGTAACCTCCGGTCTGCAAAGGAAAGCAAAGATAAAACGATTTATTGAATCAATTCACAGTTGCCAAACATGTTGCATCAAAGCGCTTATTGCATTGGGTAGTACGCATCAAAAGACCTGTGATTTTTGTCGGTAAACTACAGCATATGAAGCGCCTTTTGGCGAAAGAGTGTAAGTCCAATATAACGATATATGGCTAGCACAGAACTTTTAACCGCTTTCACTGGACCCGCTACAGGACTACAAGAAAGAGGAAAAAGTGCGCAGAATCGAAGATAGATGTGCTGGGCGGTACGCTACTCTATTTCCGTTCGAGTCCCCTTAGCTACCTCTTGGTAGACGAAACAGGCCGATGCAGATACACGAAAGGCTGGACAAGCTTACAAATAATGAGGCATTTAGCTAGCGTGGAGGAGTTGTGACCACGGCTATTGGTTCCACAACTGCTTCTTTGAACGAGTAGCTGCTGCTAGTCTTATGAACGAAAGGAAAAGATATCTGACTGTCATAAGTCAGATATAACTTTAGGCTTTGGACGGCTGCATCGGCAAGAAGATGCCGAGCAAACCGCATTGGTTTGTCTGCCTCCTACAACCGCGACAACTATAATTACGACCGTTCGTCCATGGCGATTTTCGCCAGCCGTTAACTCTTCGCTGTGCAACTACTATCCTGATGCATGTTATCCCACTCGGTTAGTTTAGCCAACTTTCCTCTTTAAAGGATTTTCCTCCGTTTGAGTCTTCTCCAACCGCGCCTTGCGCTAGCTCGGTGGCGGGAACTAAGGTAGCGTTGAGGCAGCCCAGGCGGAACCAGGAATCAGCGCTAACGTCCGCCTGGCGGCTGATAAGCGATGATTTGTGATTCGCCCGAATTGACCGCAGCTCGAAGGCCATCGACAAGACGCCCTCCGGCGAAGAGGCAGGGCATCCACAAGGTTTCTTTTTCCTGTTCAACCCCGTGGGTTAATATCTTTGTGATACTCTCTCCGCCGCTCAGTACCTCAAACGCCAGCCGCCATACGCACGCACTGACTGTCTAACCAAGTTTCCCAAAGTTGGCTTCTTGTATGATCTCACCGGCGATCTTTTCCTCCATCGTCGAGTCTACCCAGCAGCAACAGCCCAAAGCGGCCGCTACTGCTGCAGTCGGAAGACGTGGTTTCGGTCTCGCAGTTCGTTACAACGAACAATACGCTCCGGTTCACTGCCATTCCAGATCCTTCCCCATGTTCTCATGCTAAAATGTGTTATAGTGCGTTAACGAAATTCTCTTGACTCTAACTCGAGTTCATTTGGTCACCTGAAGGGACGATAGTATAGCAGTCATGGATTTCTCTGCTAATTTAAGATATATTATCTTTTCTTTGTAAAAATAAGTAACAGCTTTGTAAAAAGATATTTCTCAAATACACTAAGAACCGAAGGCCATTAGCGTCGTGCAATATCAATTTTAAACTCTAACGCAAATTTAATGGACAGTGCAATAGCATCTAGTGCACCATAGTATTTCTCGTTCTAGTCGCAGAACTTAAGGAAAATGGTGTTAGAAATAACGACTTAGTTAAGCGGAGGTGCTATTTGCTGGTGTCTACTCGATGGACTCGTGCAAATCCATCTTTGATTTTTTCTTATGTGTTTGACTTTTTCAAGTGTGTATCGTGCCTCGTGCTATATCGGCCAACGTGATTGTACACTCCCAACAAAAAGCTCTGTTGTATCTCGGTTTCCGCCCTGATTTCCGGTGTACTGTCTGATTCAATGTCCTCATAGCAGAACCATTTAAATAGTATGCAAACAACTTATTCACAGCGGACGAGAAGAACGACGCTATTACATCGTGCAGTTATGAAGGAGCTAGTACGATTTTTGCGGGTAGATGCAACCAGCTCTTAAAGATTACGCCGCTAAAACAGATGATTGAGAAACGAGCAAAGGCCCGCTTTACTATTATTCCTTGCTGCATCCACTATGTTTCTCCAATTATCATTAATATTATTATGCCGCAGAGAAAGATGCACCGCAAGTCACATTTAAAACAACAAAATACTATGATTTGTATCGACGCATTCTACAGAGTAATTCATATTAGTGCCTTACCATCTCTGCTAATGTATCCGTGCATGCGTCCGATCCTCGTTGAATGGAACGGGACAACGATTAGAGATGTCGTTTTCCGCCGCATTCAGCAAGCCTACGCTAACGGTTTAACGATGTCGTACTTGTCCCGTTTACCCACTACTATACGGGATTGGACATGGTTTGTCGCAGCAACAGGCATAGCGCAGAGATGTAAGGGTGTGCACAGCGGAACATGGCGTACGTTCAACTGACGGAAACCGCCTGGATGGTCGAGATTTACTAGCAGCGTCCTGGTAGTGTCCACCTTTCCTGTTGCTGGTTATTTTAGAGAAGCAGAGTCAGGGACAAATACCAACGATCACTGCTCAAGCCCCTTTCGTGCTGTACTCCATCGATGTCGGACCGCAAATTAACATATAAAATGATTCGGATGATAAAAATCTTCATCGACGGTCGGCATGCTGCGTCCATTCCTCAACTGTTTTTCCCCTGTTACTCCCTTTCTCCCTATATATTACTCTTTCTCTTTCCCACTTTGCCTAGCCTCGAACTGCGCTGTGGCTCAAAACTGAATCGACTGCTCTCCCTAGGGTGCTCCCCTTCATTCTTTTCTATCTTCGAAGGGGAGATCTTTTCTGGCGACCTGCGTCACTGAGTTCTGGAACCTCTGGCAGGAGGACAGCGGCGAAGGATGTTTTGTGTTTGCCGAGTATTCCATTGCAGTTAAGACGCTGTCGCCTCTTTGTTCCCGCCTTAGGGGTTTTAGTCATCTCTGGGGCACCTGGTCGCAATTACCAATGCTAGGGTTGCTTATGATCTTCTATAGAGGCGTACAGGAAGAATTTTATTTTCCTCGCTTTTGCTCGCTGACGTGAAGGCATCCAATACGATCCGACCGCCCTCATCGGACAAGCTTGTGGCTTGTGGAGTGTCGATACTCCCAGCGGGTAGGTGAGCGTTGCTGCCTCAGAGTAGCGGCGGACAAGACGCTGCTTCGAACCATGCGAGCTGTTGCGGGGGCTCTCTGTTTTCCTTAGCTCTGTAACCAGAAGACCATGAATGTGTCTAGCGCCATGCTCAGGTCTAGCGCACTCGCTGGTGATAGACTTATTTACCATTAAACTGTTTACTGCCAAATGTTGTTGATACCGAGGTGGCAGGACAGGCACATGCAATGTTTAGCCAGCAGACGTCCCAACTGCCGCCTGCGAGCGGCCCGCAACTTGTCGACTAGGAAAAATATTCTTTTTATTACACGTGGTGCTATTCTGTCCGCGTGGGTCACGCCCATGAACCCACAATTTATGCTACTGATATCCCTTTGCTAATGAAGACTTAGACCCCATGATTGAAGAAAAAGGAGACGCAGGACATCGGTGGGGATAGGTGGCCAAGAGATCGATTTGCGAAAAAGCCTAGGCCGAGACACGAATACGAACCACTAACATGAGAATGTACAGTTTACAGTTTGTCGCCAAAAGATTTCTGAGAAGTAAATGTGCGATTTAGACCAGCCTTGCTAGTTTCGACAACCCTTTCATATATGTTGTCAGGCTGACGTGTAAGCCTTGGTTTGTTTTTTTTTTCGTCGACACATGCAGAGGCAGGTAGCGGCGTCGCATCCGTCGACGATCCTTCCTCGTCGATATGCGGCCAATCGTCCTCACATATAAACGCTACCATTAAAACTACAAATGCTAAGATCTCGAGCCGTACATTCCAGGAACACTGCAGAGACAAAGCCAGCGGGGACTGTGCAGTGGCCGAGGTCGCTCTAATCTGTGGAAAAGCTACAATTGGTCGCAATTTTTATTTGCTAGCAAATTAAGTAAAACCACGTTCTCATAATTCAAGACAACGGCCACTGTTACTCTGTACATTTATCCTGCTAAGGTCTCCGCTGTTTGTGGGTTGTGTGCACAAACCGTATTTGGGACTAGAGAGACGCCGTTGTAATAGGGGGTCATCTATGAACTGGTCGTGGCACTATACGCAAGGTCAGGTATGTGGCCACTGAGCTTATTATTATTATTGAATTTTTATTTGCTACATGAAAATGGCTTAGGGACCTAGCAGGCGACGGCAGCCGACCCAACGAACTATCGGTGACCAAGGTTTCGTCATACGAGCCGCAAGCAAACAATTAGCATAAGGTAGTGGTCTCTTGTTGTATGCTATGTTGTGTTTTACATTCACCGTTTTTCCTCGAATTAGTTCAATGCATATTACAGTTATACGCAGTTTTAGTCATTTTCACCAACCTTCTAATAACTAAAAAATACTTTCCGTGTAACTGTGGTGGGGGGCTACCAGCATGGGCTATGAAATTTTGAAAATTTGTCCATGTTGAATAATTTTATTGCCATCTATATTAGGTCTTTTACGAGCGTAGTCAGCCCACAATAACATGCAGCAATCGTGTTTCATAAGCTAATTATTGCTACTTCTTATGAAAACGGTTCAATGACAGGTGCATTTTTGCTTGTCGCGAACTCATTGATGAAGGCCAATATGCGAACAATAATCACACGCGAAGTTACGGATAGCATGACTCTATTTGTCTGATTTCCGGTATTCAGATAATCAGCCTCTTTTGTTTGCTAAACGAGGGAAGAGGGAACCGATTGGGGTCACACTGCTTCGCTCGTAAAACACGCCGGTTGTTAGCCCATTTCGTACTCTTGCGGTATCAACAGCAACTTCACATCCACAAGGTTCCATCAGTGATGCTCTGACGGATTTACGATAAACGTAGCTATAGAATAAATAAGAGTGATAAACAAAAACGCTGGAACCTCGCCCTACTTCTCCGGCTTGCCTCTTCATTGAGCTACAATATATAAGTCGCTACCGTATAAGACCTGGAGCACCCGGGGGTCAGTCCAGATGTACAGGACGAAGGACCTCTGTGAATGCATGGTTAGATTGGAAC